TAGTTAGCCAATGTTTGCATGCTAGGTTAACATACTTCCCTTAGCTGCGTAACAACAGCATGTTAGCATTGTTAGCCTCTATCTTAAACCACCGCTTTGCCTATTCACAGCCTCTCACTGTAGACTTTTAGGCTAGTTTAAATGGAAATGTGGCGTAATAGAAACACGGTGCTTTCTTGTACAACAAGTTAGTAGCTAACTCCTGTCAAAATAAAAACCAACGTCATCATTTTATGCAAATGAACATTGATCGAGTAATCCCTTTTAACACAAAGTTCTGTTTACAGTAGACTCATAATAAAACATTCCCATTCCTTCTCTCTGATATAATGATATAATGAGAATCACTCAGTATAATACATGATAAGCTTGTTAAAATGCTTGGAAGCATTGTGACAAATGACCCACCAGGGATGAGTTTAGTGTCTATAGTTTCTCAGGCAGACCAACGTTTTGAAAGTCTACAAATAATAAAATGACCGGGTTTATGACTATTAACATATTAAGTACAGTGTGTAGGCTTAATGTATGTTTAGAATGTAGCCATCATCATCGGTTTTTAGATATTCAACCACTTTTTATTTACCACAATATTCACAGGATATAGCCGACTGTTATTTCTATCTTTCTTTCCCTCACAGCTGTTTTATTTAGCAATCGTTTTATAACTTGATTTTGATAAATACTTGCTAAGAGAATAATCCACAGCTACCTTTTACCATGCTCTTCCTGCTTTGTGTGTGTGTGTTTATGTGTGTGTACGTGTATGTGTGTTCCTCCCAGGGGAACTGAGGCTGAAGTAATGAAATGCTCATTACTGATTCAGCTGGAAATTCTGGGGATACATTTACTCGCCCACACACACATGCACAACCTTCTATCCAGATGCTTCTCAAGGTCACCTCACATTCTCTCTGTGTGTGTGTGTGTGTGTAGGTGTGTGTGTCAGAGAGAGAGAGAGAGAGAGAGAGAGAGAGAGAGAGAGAGAGAGAAAATGAATATCTTTTGTAAACCTCACATTCAGGGCAACAAGATTGGGCATAATTGGGGCTTAAGTTAGCAGTTCTGAGAAATACACCCGAGGCATCTGATATCTAACACGATCATTAATGCACACACACACACACACACACACACACACACACACACACACACACACACACACACACACACACACATACTTATTCACCTTTGCTGTCAGTCAACTCTCACTCATTAGATGCCTCCCTGACATCCTCTCATTATTTACTACATCCACAAACCCACGCATACTATATATTGAACATAAAAACAAACCATTTATTTGATTCAATTTATATATTTGTATGATGTGAGCAATTTCTGGGTTGTATCTTCCTGGTTAAAATGCACACTGTTAGATGCTTCGGTTAAAAGCCTTAGCTAAAAGAAAAAATAATGTATCGTAAATATTTGAACTACCTGAGGTTTCTACTGAGGCAAAACAAGACTTTTACACATTCAAGTGCTTTGATTCAGATCTGCTATACACACAGATCAGTTTGATCAAAGCATAACTAACATGTTTTTTGACACACACACACAAAGTGTATATAGACACACACAGTCACTTTGTCTTCTGTAATTAGAAAGATGCTGTGTTGTCAGTTGGGTTTTGTTTCAGACGGCATGACAGAGAATTAGAGATAGTTTGGAATGCTTGTTACAGACCAGGCTGGGTTGTTAAAGCCTGACTATTATAATGGATTAAAGCACTACAGGTACAGATGGTGTTTTTGGATAATCGGAGAGAGAGAGAGATGCACTAAGCGCTTTTCAGCCAGTCTGTTTCCTGTGGGTCACCATAGCTCTGATTTATTACCCTGCTTCAACTGCTTTCAGCTCTTACCGCCACCCTAGGGCGAATGCTTCACTTGACTCCAATTCCATGTTTACGTTATTATTTTGGAAATGTGTCTTCATAACAAGTCAACGGTGAAGAGGACACATTTATTTGGTTGGATAGGAGGGGATGATTGTATCACTGTCACTCTCCTCCTGCGCTTTTACAATACATGGTAACCATTGTTGTCCTTTGTAAACTGTCACTTTAGCTCCTCTGAGGATGCAAACTGGGAATGAATGGAAGTGTAAGCTCTTCATACGCTGCACGTCAGAGCTGGAGGATGAAACTTTTGGCTGATCTGACTGACCTAGAGTCTGCAATTTACCAACAGGTTACTCCAAATGTCACTCCTGCATTCTGATTATCACACATACACACACACACAATCACACCCACTCATTACTCATTCTAGTAAAGGTTAAACTACCCCATGAGTATGACCACGGACATTGCTCATCACTCATCTCTGGCTGTGTGTGCGTGTGCGTGCGTGTGCGTGTGTGTGTGTGTGTGTTGGTGTGCACGTAGTGGAAGCCAATCTGCCACATGTGACATGTACTAGATTGTTGCTAAGAGACAAACGTGCCGAAGGGCATGTAGGAGGAGACTGCGTGTTGCCATCCGCTTTCAGAACACAAACAGACAAACACGAGCATGCATATGCACAAACAAGGCAGCCAATCAAAGTTGGTGTGACACTGATTGAGTGTTATTATGCACCTTATTCTACGGTAGTGCATTCATAATCAATAAAAGGATTTGCGTCTGAGAAGCTGTCATTGGAAACTGCATGGACAAGGGACTGCACTTTCGAAAAAAATAATTGGCAGGTGATTGGATGAACCATCTGTCTACCAGAGCTAACGTATTTGTTTCCATTGAGAAGCTCTCAGTGCCGTTCTTTACCCTTCTTTCGTGGAAGTTACTCTGCAGTGATGATATGACTGATGCTATTGCAGAATCTATGCTAACCTGTTTAGAAGCTGCCATTGTTGTCGCCTCTGTGTATCAAACACATCAACCCTGTTGCTGCCAGTAGCACCTAAAAAAGCACTGACTGGTGTGAAGCCTGTCCAGATTGATTTTTGTATGATCTTTTGAACCTGTGATTCTAGTGTGATATTGCGAGAATCCAGCTGCATTGTAAGGTAGTGTCAGTGGTGTAGGAAGTGTTCAAGGTGCTCACTGAAAAAAAGGCCTACATCAAAACTGTACTTCAGACAGTCATGCCTCTAAAGTAAATGTATGATATTAAATACGTAAATCCAATCCCATTGTCTTTTGTCAAGGTACGCAGGGCGATGCTAATGAAGACAAATATTCCATCCCTGCAGCACTCCATACCTTCACATATCAAGGAGCTAATTGTAACCCAAATGCCACCTTATTTACCTTAAAATGTGAGTGTTATTTGTATTGCCCATGCTCTTAATTAAATGTAATCTCTTGCTTGACATGTTAGGCATTGCTGATGTTCCTTTTAGTCTAATTGAAGGAACGAAACAAATTAACATGCCCTTTATTTATCCCAGCTTTCTCCCTGTAAGAGCATTAGGCATATTTCCTAATTAGTAATAGCTATGGTGATAAAAGTAACAAATATTGGGCTAAACTGAAACATGAATTCATCACACTACAATTCTTTTAGTGGAAAAAGCATTAAAAACATGATGCGGTTATGATCCCTAAATGGGGTTCAAACCAGATGTGACACAAGGTTTTGACTTCTGATGGGAACAGATGGACACAGAACAGACCACACACACACACACACACACACACACACACACATTTCCAAAGCCATGAGCCCCGGGTCCCATATTGTTCCATGCAGCTATTTGTCACCAAAGCACATAATAATAGACGGATTCCTAATTGGTTAACATTCCGCTGTGAGTAAATCATCTGAATCATTATCACAGACAGACCAAAACAAAAACACATCATGTGTCTTTGAAACAGATTTTAATTCACAGGAGAGTTTCAGTGTCTGTGTTATAGTTTTCTAACGTTGTGTGTGTGTGTGTGTGTGTGTGTGTGTGTGTGTGTGTGTGTGTGTGTGTGTGTGTGTGTGTGTGTGTGTGTGTGTGTGTGTGTGTGTGTGTGTGTGTGTATTTATATGGGTGTTTTCCTACTTTCTTCATGTATGTTGTATATTGTGATTTTCTTAGTGTGAGAACATTAACGACTCACCTCATTCCTCAGCAACTGAAAGAGGCTCTTTGTCTATTGTACTGAAGGACAATGTGTATTGTAAGAGACAGAATCAGATTTCTGCCCATGCAGGTGTGTGGGTGTGTGTGTGTGTGTGTGTGTGTGCGTGCGTGCGTCCGTGCGTGCGAATGTGTGTGTGCGTTTAGCTGGCGGCACAGTCTGTCTCCCTGCTGTCCTAATCCACTCATTTACCTGAGTTCCTCCCTTATTACTGAAGTTCTGCCAACACACACACACACACACACACACACACACACACACACACACACACACACACACACACACACACTAATGGATATAAAAGCGGTAAAGCAGATGGCGAAGTCAAGCCGTTTGCTTATTAAATGAAGCAACATTTCACACATCTGTGTGTGTGTGCGTGGGTGCGTGTGTGTGTGTGCAGGTGCGTGTGTTTGTGTGTGGGGGGTGTGTGTGTGTGGGTGTCTGTGCAGTTGTTTGATTGTCTGTGTGTGTAAGGTAACTGCATTCGCATTTGTGCGAAGCTGTGGATGGGTGGGGTGGTATCCATAAATCTGTCTTGCCTAAACAACAACAAAAAACAAGAATTTTGCAACCATGAGACCAAAGATAGAACCATAAATGACTTCCATAAATCTGGATTGGTAATTTATGGACTTGTTTCTTTATGGAAACTAGATTTATCAAATATATTGCAAAGGCCTGAACTTTGGGTTAATTTAAATGATCTTTTCAGATTTTATCAAACATACATTAAAGGGGAAGAAAAGGTTAAACCATTTCAAAGCCTTAAATGGATTATTCCTGGATCACTATGTCTAGTCTAGTTCATAAATAACACACTGCAGTTTTTTATTATTAATAACATCTAGTCTGAAGTCTGTTCGAATGAATACAGTTATACAGCTATACTTAATGTATGTATTTGCCTCTGCTCAGGTGAAGAGACAGGTGATACATACAGCGGTCGGAGTCCGGCGACAAAGAGCCTGGCTCTTCCTCCTCTTCGCCCCGTCCCCCCCAAACATCTCCCACCTCCTCAGGTAAGTCATGGCCGCTCCTCCTTCCACATCCATTCTCTCCTTTTCTTAATTCCTCTATTTGCCTTCTAATACGATTTTAAATCTTTTCGCATATTCTCTGTCAGGTGGCAGTTCGAGGCTCGGCCCACACGTTGTCTGTTGCACCTTTGACCCTGTCGACCCTTCTGCTCCTGCTGCTGTCACCATGGGAACACCGCTGATGTCAGAGGGACTGTCTGACAGAGACAAAAAGACTGAAAGACAAGCACACGTGTTTGGTGGTGAAGATGAGTATTTGGAGTTTCTGTAAGCAGGAAGCACTCTGAATGTTTTGTTATGTGGCAGGTGCACAGTATGCAGTTTAATGTTACCTGTACTGACCTCTACATGTGTTTGTTTATGTGTATTTAACTTTGATAGGATAGATTGCACACCACTACTGACTTTTTTTGAAGAGAGATGTAAATACAAATAAATATATATTATATATTTATATAAAGGATTTCTATAGATAACGATGGCTCTATGTGTAAATAGAGATTAATATAGAACAGAAGTGATTTACTTGGATGTAATGGGGTGTTTTGTTTAGTCTGACATTTACATTATGTAGCCCCCAGGGACACTTAGATCTATGACAGCTATGGTTCAAGTTGAGGCCTCCACTGTGGCAGCAAGGTGCTTACAGTGAAGACTGACGCATTACACGAGTACTCAGCACTCCATGAGCAAAACAACCAATTATGTGACGCTTCAGACCATTGACAGATGGCCATGAGCATAATGAAGAAGTTGACAGTTTGGCTTGTACGTCTCTGCAGACTGAAGCCCATCCGGCACTGTTTTCTTTCACACCAACATGCTCTATTGTTCATGCAAGCTGGGCAAGTATGCTGCAGAGTTGAACTGTTTAACACAATTGTATTTCCTCCACAAATGACTTTTTAATGATTTCTCCCAGGAAACTGTGTCCTTAGGTAGTTTATCGTGAATAAACAGATAATACCTTTTATTGTCTTGCGTGCGTAAACTGAGTTAAGGCTATGTTCTTCTCAAGATGCATAGTCTGCAAAATGGTAAATGCACTACAGGGAGGCATATAAAAGCTTATATTTCAACTTTAAATCAACTTTTAGGCCGTCACAGTCTTTAGGAGCTCTCCTAAATATGGAAGTTATCTAAACAAAACCATAAAACAATGAAATAGAATGTATGGCCTTCATTTAAGATCAAGAAGACACAAACCTTAGTCTAAAAAATGAATATTTTGACATCTTGTTTTCACGTACAAAGACTCCTGTCCTGTTGATTTCAAATACAGCTTGTCTCCAAATGTATTAATGACTACTGTAATAGTTATAGAGTATTTAGGGCACCCAACAACATACTATATATGTTGGTTTATTTCTCAGTCTGACACATGTTAACAGTCTGTCTCTGTATCCAGCGGAGACGAGAGATAAGAGTATCAAGTAAGTTATCAAAATATAGCTCAGCTGAGATCAAAATGATGTATGTAATTCATGGTAATTAGGACCATCAAGTCCTCCCGGCTCTCTGTTGAGTTTCAAACTGCACACAACATCAGGACAGACAATTGAAAATACTGAAAATACTGATTAAAATTTTTGAAATGGAGCAAATAAACCAGCAGGAACACACTGTGTGCCAGCTTGTGAATAACTTTTACATTCAATATTTTCCCGTGTAGTCTTAAGAAACAGGCGTAAATGTGTCTACCGTCATCACCTTTCTCATGAAGGAATTTGCCCGACAGTTGAGACGACTAAAGAAATAACATCAAGAGCCTACATGCATGACTTATCTGGGCACTGAGCCCAAACACCATGTAAGTTAGCGGGATGCTTTTACACCATAAAGTGTGCCATTATTTGATTACTATTTAAACATTGTAACCCAAATTAGATTTAGGAGATGAGATTTTGGATGTGAGCCAACCACTTCACCTTTGACAGCTCTTGCTATACAATACATCCTACATAAACTAAACACCAACACACACACACCAATGCACATACAGATAAGTTCATTTGAAATGCTTTTCACAGCCTGGTATAAGACAAGAGTGGGATATGACTGAAATGTTGGGCTTTCAAAAAGGGTATTCATATGCTTATACATTTAGCAAAACGAGAAATAATGAGCATTTACATCTTGAAATGAAATCACCTGGAAAGTGAAGCTGAAAATTATAATTTGTTGTTTCAATTTGTTCCTATGTGGCTACAAACTGTGAATCGCAAGTTGAATTGTTGAGAAAACTGTCATGAATACAAATGAAAGAAAGTGTGAATCTTGTTAGTGTATATTTGTAAATGAGACTGAGCGATCTTTTTCATATCAAGCATAGAAGTGACTTTCTGTTGTTCCTCTTGTACTGTGTTGTTATAATGGTTGCCATATGTCATGGAAGGAACTTTAATGTGTCACAGCAATTATTTGTTGGTACTTTTTCAAGGTTCAACATCTCGTTTGGGTAGAATTCTAATGTTGTTGTGTATAGGATTACCATGATGCAATAACAAGTTACAGTTGCTATAGTAGTATGGTTTATCTCCCCCTAAAAACTAAATCAGTGACTCCTGTGTGATAAGTGAATAGACATTCTGTAATACACTGTGTCCTTCTATTCTTTTTTGTCAATAATATCTTCAGCCTAATATCCTAATAATAAACCGTTTTCAAATGCACATTGTATTTTGTCTTTTATTTCTGGCAATAGTCCCAGTGTGAGATGCATTTTTTTTTGGTTCTCTATCTACACATGGCTAAATGGTTTAAATTCCAATGATAAGCTGTAATTTGGGCAATTCCATACAGATGATATGCTTAAAATAAAGACTTCATTTAGAAACATATTTGTTTTTATTTTTGTTTGTTTGGCAGTATATTTTACTGTCAGGGCATCCACCATAACGGGTTTAAACAGAGCAGTTTGGTGCCATCAGAGCCTTATGTGTACATACAGTATATGTGGGAACACAGCTGCAGCTCTTTGGCCTTTGGCCCTTTTAGAGATTACTGTGTTTAGATTGGCCCAGTCAGGAAGTTGGCACAGATAACTTGGCTGGCACAGGAAACTGCCAGGGGATGATGGGAAATAAAGACATAATTGAATGCAAATTGTTTAGGAGAGAAAACACGGAAAGAGAGGGAGAGCACAGAAAAAAAAGGCAGAGAAGGTGGTGTGCTTCCATTTCTTATCCTGATGTGTCCATTATTCTGTAACAATTTAAGATTAAAAGGTGTATTTAATTGTAATGCTGTTTGCACTAATTTTTATTGCTTAATAATTGTACTTTCCCTCGTGGGAATGGTGTGTTTTTTTCGACAATAAAATGTGCCGTTTTGATTAATTCCCTGAAAGCAGACTTTAGATGCACTTCGGCCAAAGAGGGCAAAGGGACAGTATTCTTTGCTTAAATCTAAGCTAAGGTATTGACATAAACAAAGGCATCAGGCAGGAAGAGAGGTGAAGAGGGTGAATTGAAGTTCATAGGAGATAAGCCGTGAGACCAGGTATTTGTAGGATATTGTTTCAACAAGCCGGTGAGGTTGCTCTGCTGAATAATATCCTTCCTCTGTGCCATCACTAATGAAATGAGAGCTCTGATTACTTTAACCCTTTCCAAGGGTCATAATTGAGATGTGTGTTGTATAAATCATATTTATGTTCCTGTCGTTGCCAGTGTTTGCAGTCTCAGAGACACACATTATATCAGATGAACCGCTGTCATCATGTTGCAGCTTCACATGGTTTGATGGCTTTAGGTATAAAAACATTATTAGAAGCTTTCTATGTCTCGGGAGCCATGTGTCGATCCCGCAGGAAACACACCTGCCTTTTATTGACACATAACAACACAACTGGATTTATAAGTGATTTTTGACAGCTCAACAGGTTAAATTATACAATGTGTGACCTGCACTAGCCAGAATGTATTGTATATCTGTGTATCTTTACCTTGAGCTTTTCTGATTTGCCCAACGCAAGTTATAATTTCAGTAGTGTTTGGAACGGACTGCATACCTTGAAGCATAAGGTATTCACTCTCCACATTAAGTTCTATAATCAGAGTAAGCTGTACTGACCAATATTGGATCTCTTATCCCTCAGGAGTTCAAATATTTCAGATACTTTGTGAATGTGATGAAGAGACCATTGTTTCCTCATGCTTCTGGGTGTATAATCATATCATTGAATATCAAAGACTGCTGAATGACTCTGTATTGCAGCAATGCGTTACTTGTCTAAATTTGGATTTGGTGTCTAGGACTCATTTCACCCTGAAAGCTGATTAACCTTACAGTAGTTGGCAGCCTCCTTATCCATAGTCTTTAATGCCAGCGGAGCAGCTCTGCTGAAGCAATCAGGGATTAAGTGTCTTGCTGACAGGCACTTTAACATCAGTTAAGCACTGACTCACCTAACTCACCTAACTCACCTTAACACACCCACGTAATCTCAATCCTCCCACAGTGCTCTAGAGTCTAGACCAATAATTATTTCTGGTAACTCTAGGTTGGGTCAGCTAAAACAAATGATCACTTTTTAGTTGAAAAGTTGCCTTTATACATAATTGTCACGATCTTAACACAAACTGGAGAACCCAAATGCACGACCCAGAGACAGTCTTGAATGTAGTAAAAAATGTCTTTTTAATTTTAAGAAAACAGAAAATCCCTCTTAACAGAGTAGGTACTGGATTTAACAAAAAGCGCTCACAAGGAAGAAAAAACAAGCGTAACAAAAAGAGAATTTAAGATTAACTTAAATTTACATCATGAGGAACAGGTGGAAACAATCAGGGGCGGGGGCAGACGCTGACGAGGGCGGGAAAACACACAAAGGCAGGAAGTAACAGGGCACTATGACCGATAGTTTGGATGGTAAGATATTAAAAGTTTTATTATGATTTATGTTTGTTAGCGTGTGTTCAGTATCTAACCCTACGCATGTTAAAGTGCATGCTCTGCCTTCAACAGCCCTCCCACTGAGGTGTATCAATCCATGGTTCAGTCCTGCTACTGCAGATACTAGCAAGAATGACTGACATTTGAGTCAAGAGCCAATGGTTTAAAATCTGCTGAGAAGGGAATATATGTCGTTCTGGCTTACAGTCTTGAAAGGAAAGTGAGTAAAACAGAAACATGTACACATTTCAGGTTATAGCAGGCTAAGCTGCCTTGTCTTCCATTATTCTTTTCCTGACATCTTCATGCTCTGATGCATCTGGAGCATGCTCTTGGAAATCCAGAGCCCTAAGATGTCTCTGACAGATACTAGAGGGTAACTGTGTGTGTGGAGAGCAAGGTGCAAAGGAGGCGTACAGTGAAGATGTTAAAAGCAACCTGGTATCACGGCAAGACGTGAACATGTGACGATTTACCATGCTGGGAGACGTGAAGATGTCACGATTTCGTCCCTTCAAACGTGACAGTTACACGGTATTGTTAACCCTTGTTAACCAGTGGAGAAATACCCGGAAATGCCAAGCAAATGCTACCCCGACGGTCGATGGTTATTGTCAATATTAATAAAATAATGATTTATTTTTTAATAGTCACACTCGATTTCGCCAATTTTCTTGTTGCCCCAGCTGGTCGACACCTCTTTTAGAAGAAACAAAGGCTACATTAATGTATTAAATCGATGTTAATCCATGCGTGTGGATGTGGAATTAACGGACAATTTACAAACTCTTCAACTACAACCGTAGTTATATTTAAAAACATGTTAGAAGGCCTCATGAAATACTTTAATGTAAATTTAAATTTAAAGGTGAAA